GTGACTGAAGACAAGAGCAAGGTGACTGGAGACAAGAGCAAGGTGACTGAAGACAAGAGCAAGGTGACTGAAGACGAGAGCAAGGTGACTGTAGATGAGAGCAAAGTGACTGTAGATGAGAGCAAGGTGACTGTAGATGAGAGCAAGGTGACTGTAGATGAGAGCAAGGTGACTGAAGAGGACAGCAAAATGATTGAAATGGCTCTATCTATAGCTCAAAGCATCGTCTTGGCTGCTGCTCATATTGTGGAAGGTAATGATCCTAATTGGGTACCTAAAGAATTGTCTCATTATGTAACTCCACACTACCATGCAACTAACCAATTTGCACCTTGTTTCCACAAGAGGAAAGACGCATCAAAGACATCAAGTGGATCACACATGGTGAATTCACAGTGGAAGGAGGACGACTGAGCATTGAGGAATTCATTTCAGTAAGTTAGATGACTACTTCAGCTTGATGCCAAAATGGCTTTAATCAAAAGTTAAATTAAATGGTTTAATCAAAAGTTGGAAGTCCAGAAAACCTAGGAGAGTTTATCAAAGGCGACTAGTAAACATTGTTCTCATTTGGTGTGATAGTCTTTGAAGGTGAAAAGCATACTAGTATTTCCCAGTGTTTTTATCATCATAACTTTCTCTAGAGATCTAGATGATACTCCCAGTGAAGCAATTTCCCATTCTGATGCATTAAATAGGGGCCCAGTGGCCTAAGGAAGGGAGCCATGGTGGCACAGTGGTTAAATGCTTGACTGCTAACCAAAAGGTCGATGGTTCAAATCCATCAGTTGCTCTGTGGGAGAAAGATGTAGCAGTCTGCTTCCATAAAGATTTTCAGCCTTAGAAACCCTAGGGGACAGTCTACTCTGTCTTATGGGCTGCAATGAGTTCAGAATCAACTCAATGGCAACAAGTTTTGGTTTGGTTTAAGGAAAGAGATGTTCCTTCAAAAAAGGAATTCTCCACAACCAATTTTAGAATGCTCATTATCAACACAGGGGATGTGAATGGACCAAGAGCCATGCTGATTTAGCTTTGGATGTGCTCACCTCACAGATGTACACATTCATGATTCCTTTTTTTCCTTCTGAGCCTGGCTGTGGCCTGGGATGTGGCTTTTTCTGCTTTGCAGAACTGGTGAGGTACCCAAAGAAGAATGGGGTGAAATCTCTTCTCACTGTACTTCCTCAGAATAGAAAACTCCCTGACCCCTGGGAGAAGTTTTCACCAGTCTCTGTTCCTCTGGCCAGCTCATCAAAGCCTACAGCTCTCAGGGCAATTTCCTAGGCCCTAGGAAGACCTGGTCAAGTGGGAAAGAGAAGGCAGGGTTTTCTGGCTCCGCACTCTCTATTCATGCTCCAGAGGGTACAACTCACTCTTCCCATTAGAAGTAGTCTGTAAAGCAGAGTGAAGATGAATGGTGCAAAATCTTAGTTACTGTTGGTCTTTTCTTCTTTGGAGTACATCGTCATGCTAGACTTGGGCAAAGGCTCCTGGCTGTTGTACCCAGGGTTCTTGAATCAGACAAGACTAGGACAGAAAGAAAGCAGGACATTTTGGCCCTGGAGAGCTCACACATTACTCTGAATGAAAGCCAAAAGCAAGTTCTACCAATGGCCTACAAGACCCAGTGCGCACTGAGCCTCGTCCCCCACCACTTACCTCTCTGACCTGGTCACCTTCTCACCTTTCAGTTATCTCATTCTAGCCATGCTTGCCTCCTTGCTGTTCCTCAACTGCCAGCCCTGTTCCCACCTCAGGGCCTTTGCATTTGCTGTTCCCTTTGCCTGGAAGACTTTCCTGAGATATTTGCATGGCTCACCTTTTTTTATTTTTTTTTTAAATCTCTATTTGGATAGTTGCTAAAATGCCACCTGCACATCGAGACTTGTCCTAGCTACCTCACTTAAAATTGTATCCCTCTCACCTCCACTGCTTTAGTTTTCCCTTCAACACTTATCACTACTTGAGATACTGGATTTTACTTCTTTATCTTGCTTCCTTCTTCCACCACCAGGATATATGGTTCACGAAGGCAGAGACTTTTGTTCACTGTTTTGTCCCAGTCCCTAGAAATGACAGGTACATAGTCCATGTATCACAAACATTTGTTGAATACACAAATGGCATTATTCCCTTCAGATCATTATTTTTCACTGGTGAAAAAGACAGGTCAAAGTATTTGTCTTACCTACATGACATCATGCTGTTGTGAGAACAGAGGCGATTAGAAAGTAGAAGTGACTGAAAAGCTAAAAACTCTATACAACTCATGGTAGAAAATCACCATGTTCTCAGCACCCTTCATACAGTGACCCATAGAAGTGAGGTCTATCATCTAAGTGATAGGCACTTCTGATGGAAAGCCTTCTCAAGCATAGTGCAGATTTACTAGAGTCCATTGTGTATCAGACAATGTTTCATGGCTACGCATAAAGTTCTCCAGCAATATATCAGACAGTGTTACACTGCTATTCATAAAGTTTTATGTGGCCAATTTTTTCAGAAATGGATGGCCCTATTTTTCTTCCCAGTCTGTCTTAGTCTGGAAACTCTGCTGAAACCTGCCCATCATTGGTGACCCCACTGGTATTTGAAATACTCGTGGCATAGCCTACAACCTCACAGCAACACGTAAGTCACCACAATATGACAAACTGACAGATGAGCGGTGGCCATTGTGTAGCAGGGGAATGGTAAATGAGGAGTTGCCATTTATTGAACTCTTGCTATGTGCTAAGTGCTGCTGAGAACTTCCTATGAATTTTCTCATTACTCCTCCCAAGAAACCTACATGGCAGGTATGCCATCACTGTACCCACCCATTTTACAGATGAGGAAACTCAGGTTCAGAGAGGTTAGACAATTTGTCCAAAATCACTCTGATTAAGAAGCTCAGTGAATTTTTTCTTTTTATATACTTCTAACATAGTAGGAAATGTACTCTTAGAGGATAAAAATAAAAGGTCATTATCAACAGACAAAGAAGTAAGCAATATTACCCAGAATCCACTCACTAACTCATTTTTTTAAAATGAGTGAACAATGTATGCAATAGGAAGCAAACAAAAATGCAGTCTTATTATCGATGTAAAATGCAAATTCAAATCATTTAAAAATATTGTAATGTGCCTAGGTAAGAAATTGGCAAAAAAGAATAAGAATGATTAAACATGGTGACAGAAGGCATGTGTATTGAGGAGGAGGGGTGGACAGGTACATTTGTACATTGCCAGTGTCCACAATAATGGGTTCTTTCTCTTTAGGAGCACAATCTGGCAATGAGAATACACAAATAGGTTCTTTATAAGAGAAAGGTGGAAACCCCCCAACAGCTCACACACAGTTTAAATTATTTTTATGATAAAAAATAAAACATATCAATATAAAAAAAATATAATGAGCAGAAAGACACAAGGTGGAAAATAAAAGTTCTCCCTCCACCCCACAAAGGTCACTCACCATTGATAACAGTTTTGTGCATATCCTTCCAGGTGCTTGTTGATTTTGAGGGTCCAATAATATGTACTTAGCTAAGCCATCCAACGTACAGTAGTAGCACAGTGAGACACTGTTTCCTGGAAGCGAGTACATCAAGTAGTGTTATGTAAAAATTACAAAGTACAAGGAGAGCACCCACTCACTGGATCTCTATAAAAGTTCGCTTGCCTACACATTGATAAAAATAGGACATTTGGCCTTATGGATATTCAATGTTATATCTAAAAAACCAAATCTACTGCCGTTGAGTTGATTCTGACTCATAGTGATCCCCATAGGGTTTCCAAGGCTGTACATCTTTATGGAAGAAGATTGTCTTATCTTTTCCTCCTGCAGAGCAGCTGGTGGGTTTGAACTGCCAACCTTCTGGTTAGCAGCCAAATGCCTTATCCACAGTGCCACCAGTGTTCACAAGGTTGTATTTAAGGCTGTGTTTTTCACAAAAGGGGAGAAAAAAAAAAACCCACAAAAACATTAAGAGGAAAAATGAGAGGAAGACAATCTCAGAATTGAGACATTTGGTGGAGTAGAGCCCAGGGTACCAGTCCCAGCTGTTGTGTTGGACTATCCCTACCCATTTCTAGGCCCCAGTATTCTCATCAGCAAAGCAAGGGACTTTGCTGTTTCGTTTCTAGGAAACACTCCAACTCTACAAAGTCTGTGATTGTGTGACAGAAGAAAACATCAGAGCTGAGAAAGTATACTGAGTAATGTTGAAAGCTTAAGAGAAAACAGGCATGCTCTAATGGGCCTCAAGGAGTTGACTGTTAGGTTCCCTCATTGATAGGAATAATGAATGATATAAGTAAGAAGACAAAGTCTGATCTTGAAGAGTTCTGAGTCTAGTGCTCCTCTCTGGCTAGCTGAAATAGCCAACTGGGTACAAGTTCAAAATAAAACAGCTGAGGCAGAAGGCCAGCCTGCCGCCTTGTTCTTTTTCTTTTTTTTTTTTTTAAGAAGGGCATGAAATCTTTCTGCCATCTCCTCCCACATTTCTACCCTATATCCCTAGGATTGGTAGACTATTCCACTTCCTTCCTTCTGTGAACCTTCATCTTAACTCAGGCTCTTCTTTGATTCAGAAACTTCCCATGCCCTAATAGCCAGTCCAAGGGAGTTCAATTCAATTGACTTTGTTGAGCACCTGTTACATTCAAGGCCCTGTGCTAGCAATCAGGGCAGCATTATGAATTCTGAGGGTTTTAGGTACTAATAATGCCTTCATGAGCCCCTTTCTCAAAAATATTAAAAAGTTTTAAGGCTGTATTGGTATAAAGATGAATATGATCTTTGGCCCTAAAAGTTCATCTATTTTCTTCTAATTTTAAAAGAAATGAAAACATTTTAGTGGTCCCTTTAATGTATTGTAAGGAGCTGTGGCATAGTGGTTAAGACATTTGGCTGCTAACCAAAAGGTCAGCAGTTCAAACCCACCAGTCGCTCCACAGAAGAAAGATGAGGCAGTTTGCTTCTGTAAAGATTTACAGCCTTGGACACCCAATGGGGGTTGTCACAAGTCGCAATTGACTCGATGGCAATGAGTTTGTTTTTTCAGTTAAATGTATTGTGGGTCTGAGGCACTATGCCTATTATGCCTAATGGGTAAGTCAGCCCTGCTTGGAATGTTTTAATGTGAAGAATAAGATGAAGACTGCACCATATGACTGTAACACAGGGTGGAACGTCAAGTGCCATAAGAGAGGCAGAAAACAAGTACCACAAGTGTTCAAAGAGGGATGATGAGAAATCCCATCTAATTAGAAGAAAGACTAAGGAATATTTCTTGGAGGTGATGGTTTAGGAAAAAGGATTTTACCAAGTAGGGATGAGAGGGACGATTTCCCAGGAAGTGATAAACCAAAACCAACCAATCTCACTGCTGTGGAGTCGGATCTGACTCATAGCGACCCCTCCTTGGGTTTTCAAGGTGGTATCATCAGGGAAGTTAATTGCCCAATCTTCCTTCCGAGGAGTGGCTGGTGGGTTTGAACCGCCAGCCTTCTAGTTAGCAGTCAAATGCCTTAGGCACTACACCACCAGAGCTCTTCAAGAAGTGATGTTGTTGTTATTGTTGTTATGTGCCGTCGAGTCAGCCCCGACTCAAGAAGTGATAGGCCTCATCAAAAGGCTGGTGCAAATATGGGGAACAGTGACTGGTTCTAGTTTGAAAGGAGTATGAGGTTTTTTTTGTTTTTTTGTTTTTTGGTGGGGAGGGAGCATGACATGAGAGTAGGAAGATGTATTATCAGATCCAGACTATGGTAGCTCTTAAATGATACAGTGAAAATTTTTCACTGTTTGGCAGGCAATGAGGAGTTACTGATGTTTTTTGACTTAGGCTGATATGATTGAAGCAGTGCTTAAGGAAAACAACTTGGGCGTCAATGTGGGTGATGGTTTGGATAAGTGAGGCTGAGAACAATGGAGTCTAGATAAAAGCTTATTGCCTGAGTCCAGGTGAGAAACAATGAGAGCTAAAGTAGAGTAGTGGCAATGGGAATGGGGAAGACTGGATAGATGTGAGTTGGATCCGACTCATAGTGACCCCTCCTTGGGTTTCCGAGGTGGCATCACTACGGAAGTAGATGGCCCAACCTTCCTTCCGAGGAGTGGCTGGTGGTTCAAACCCACCAGCCTTCTGGTTAGCAGTCAAATGCCTTAGGGACTATGCCACCAGACCTCCTGTATGGATAGATGTGAGACATATTTTGGGTATAATAGGCAAGACTAAAGGTTAATATATACTGAATTAATGAAGGGAAGAATGAAGGACTGAATGAATGCTGATACTTTTAATAACGCTGTTCATCTTAGTTGTATATTATCACCTCAAATCCAAGAATTGTGTTGTTGTATGCTATTGAGTCAATTCTGACTCCTAGAGACTTTGTAGGACAGAGTAGAAGTGTTCCACAGGGTTTCCTAGACTAAAATCTTTACAGGAGCAGATTGCCAGGTCTTTTCTCCTGTTGGGGCGTTCACGAGTTCAAACCGCCAGTCTTTAGGTTAGCAGCCTAGTGCTTAACCATTATGGCACCCGGGCTCCTTACTCCAAAAATAGGCTCAGACAAAGGAGCTATTCCAAGGGAAGTTTTCTGTTTCTAGACTCTTCACTGGCAAGCTTTGTGCTATAGAAGGGAGAAGCTTTGTCAAGGACACAAACAGGAAACAGTTTCTTTGTGAGGAATCTTGGTACCCTATTGCTTGACTCATTCCTCTTCTGACCTTCTTTTATGTACCACCTATGGCTGCCATGAAGTGAGTCTGATTTTGACAACAGGCTTGTGAAATCAGCCTCATTCCTTTTTCTAATTGTGATTTGGGTGAGTTTACAGAGCAAATTCATTTTCCATACAACAGTTCATACACATTTTGTTTCATGACACTGACTGCAATTCCCCACAAAGTAACAGCTCTCTTCCCACTTCCTCCTAGTGGTTATCTCTTTCCTGTGTCCTTCCCTCCTGTGCACTCCTGCCCCCCAAGCTATCTCCCTGTGCAAACAATGCCCTTCTGTTCCAAGGAGTATACCTATCTGATGTAAATGTTCACCCCATAAGTCTATTGTTTGGCTGGAAGCCACCAGAGTGAGTTCAGTTCCAGACCTGAAGGGTAACTAGGGGCCATAGTGTCAGGAGTTTCACCAGGCTCTATCAGACCACCAAACCTGGTCTTTTTTTTTTTTTTTAAATGATTTTGAGTTTTGTTCTACATTGTTCTCCCACTCTATCCAGGATCTCTTGCACCGATCCCCCTCGAGTAGACAATGGTAGCCGTAGCCTCATTACTTTGAGCCATACCTTTTGCTCTCCCAAGGTGGAGTGAGAAGAACACATGTTCTAATCACTTCCTAGTTATTTTCTGATTAACTAAACTTGGCTCCAAAGTAAGGGTTTGGCCCAAGGTTTGTGTCCACGTGTGTATGTGTGTGTGTGTGTGTCCCTCCATTCCAAAGCCAAATCTCAAGTGATGTTTGCATTATTCACTTATTTCATTCCAGCCTTTTCTCCCTTCTACCCATGGAGATAATTGGGAGTTGACTCTAGTTTATATCTTTATCAAAAATGTAAAGAATACACAACCATACATAGGTTTGGGAGACAATATCCCTACATTTGTATTTATATGTGCTATAAAAATGTCCATATGCAGTTTAAATATAACAGGGAGGCAAAGTTGGTATAACTTCTTAACCACAGATAAGCACCTTGAGGGAGTGAATCACTGGGCCTGCAGATTGGGGACTATGGTTGCAGGGGACATCAAACTCAATTGGCACAACATGGTATACAAAAAATATTGTCCTACATTTCACTTTGGTGAAGAGTGACTAGGGTCTTAAAAGCTTGCAAGCAGCCATCTAATTGGCAACTATTGGTCTCTCCTCATCTGGAGCAAAGAAGAGTGAAGAAAATCAAAGACACATGGAAACAATTAGTCCAAAGGACTAATGGACCATAAGAACTTCAGCCTTTATGACCCTGAGAC